TGTGCCTGCTGCCCTGCCCCCACCTGCCATGGTGTGCAGTTTGTCCTGTGACCCGCGGCTGCATCAGCAACACCAGAAACGTGGTTTCTTGCACACGCAACGGGCAGGCCACGGGGACGTGTGTCCAGTCCCTTGCTGTCTGCACAGTAAAATGGCTGTAGAAGGTGGGCTTTGTGGTTTCCACAGGAAGCATGACTTCATGGCAGTGATCGAGAATCATCTAAGAAGGTGGTTCTCCAAGTGTGGTCCCAGGACCAGCAGCAGGACCTGGGGAGGGAGCAGCTAGAAATGCAGATTCCCGGGCCCCACCCTGGGGCTGCGGAATCGGAAGCCCTGGAGGTGGGCCCAGCCGTCTGGGTGTTAACAAGCCCTCTGGGGGGTTCTGAAGCTCCCTCAGTTTTAAGAACCAGTGTCTGAAAGAGCGGTGTAGACGCTGCTTTCACCAGATGTTTGTGTGGTCGTGTGAACCTGAGGGGAGAGCACCCCCACTGACTTGTCTTTCTTCTGCCTTTAAAATACTGAAATTTTAAAATGTGACCTGGAGTGAATACCTGCCATATAAAATGTCTTTGGAGGGGGTGGGGGCACATGGTTACAGACTAAAGTAAGGGCACAGTTGTCTTTTTATTTCAAAAAGAGGTCAATTTTCCGGGTTAAGAAGTTAGAATGGGAAAGACTCAGATTTATTTGGAAACTTTTCCTGGATATGCAGATTGGTTTCCATAAGGTTTATTTGTCGATTTTATTTCTTCCACAGATGTTTGTACTTTTTCCCTCTTGACCTCTTAGTTTTGTGTGTTGATCTGTTGGGTGATATTAGTTTCGGGTCCTCCCTGACACAAACACACACTTCAGGAATGTGTTGGCGTTTCCCCTGGAATCCTGGGGAATGAAATAGGGTTTTCACCACCTGTGATGGGCCCAGGTTATGCCCCGGCCCACCAAGCCAACTCCAAACTGCTCGTGCAGGGTCAGATTCAGTCGCATCGGTAGCTTGAAATTGGCCGTGGCGGAAGTATGACACCGTTGAAATTGGCAAATGCTAGAAATTAGGGCTTTTCCCCCTGGAGAGCCTGTTGTAAGCCTTGGCCAGCACACCACTGGATAGACCTTTCTTTCTTCACATCTCAACACTGTGATGTACAGGTGTGACTAGCGTCCAGTTAAGTGGAAACAGATTCTAATTTTCATCTAGTGATGGTCTGGATGTTGTGATTCACCCATTTCCCCTGCACAAGCTTCAGACTTGCTTTTCCCTCTGGTACACTTCGGAGTGTCCCCCAAATCAGTGGACAGTGACCCCCTCCTCCATCCCTTTTAGTAGCATCAACCTCTCAAAGGCAAAAGGAGAAGTGACCTCTTCTGGACAGATGGTACCCCTGGGTGTGTGGGTTTCTCTTCCTCTTTGCAGATGGTGTAGGCAGCCTTCAGGGGTCAGTTTACAGGTCACCTCCTCCAGGAAGCCTTTCAGACTCCTTTGGGGTGAAAGATTCGCCGTCTGCGTTCCCACGATTCTCTGTGCATCAGCCCATTATGGCTTCTTTCTACTCATCCTTATTTATTTATCCACTTCCCTCCTTTCACGGTGAGCTTCTCGGCGTGGGGGTGGTCTTCTTTGTTTTTTCAAGACACCCAGGAAGTGCTTCCTGAAGTGGGTGAAGGCCTTGTGGGTCAGCCCAAGGGCAGACCAGCATTTCTCAGAGGTGGGGATCAGGGTCACCTGGAGAGCTTTTGAAAGCATGGATGTCCAGGCTTTTCCTCTAGAGTTTCCTGTGCAGCCTGTGGTGAGAAGCCCTGCCTTCAAGGAACCACGTGTCTGCAGCTGTCACCAGCGCAGCCCAGCGGTGTCCAGTCCGGGATGGGCTTGCCTCTGGCTCAGCTGTGGGAAGAGGCTCTGTTAGACCCCCCCCGCCCCGACCCCCAGACAGCCCTCCGTGCATGTCCCTCCCTCCGGGTGTGTCTGCCCAGCTCCCTCGCGTCCATCCTCCAGGCCCAGCCACTTCCTCTCTTCCCCACCCTTCTGGCCTCCGGGGAAGGTCTTTCCCGTTCAAGCCCCAGGCAGGTCCCTCCTGACTTGCAGTTGACCCTGCTTTTCCGACAACCCCTGTCCTCCCGGAGCCTCCCGGGGCTCTGACCACAAAATCGTTCTGATCAGCTTTTTCTCTTTTCTCACGGTTCCCCCTCTTTCCTCATTTGCACATTAATATCTTCAGCTCTCTGCAGACACGATGTTGGGATTCAGCCACGTCTTCCTGGCTTCCCTCTCTGCACGTGCGTGCACGTGCACGCGCGCACACACACGTATACTTTCTCAAGGAAACTTACCTGGCTCTTCCCAGCTTTGCAAACAGTGCAATATGTTGAAGAGAGGGTAAATTCTAGAGTCTGGCCAGGGTGGGTATCCAGGCCCTTATCTCTGACTGACTAAGTGTATGAAAAGGAAACCACCCCCTCCTTGCTTTTCCACGTTTCACTTGTATAAATGGGGCCATCACCTCTCAAAGTTGATGAGAATGAAGAGAGATAATGTATTAAAAAGTTGTGAAGGTAGGACTTGGCATGTAATAAGTAAATCCCTCTTTCTTTTATTGGTCACCTGAGATCATCCCTTAGAAAGATCGCCTGCCTACTGTCTCGATCTTGTTCTGAAAGCACCGAGGAGGCCAAGCGAGGGGAAGTGTAGCGTCAGGGGCAAATAATTGCATTTTTCTCAGTTGGAAACCGATGGCCTGAAATTAAAGGCAGCTGTGAATTGGATGAAAGTCCATCTGCAGGGCATTGATCACAGGTATTTTGTTTACTTTCTTTGAGTTTACAGTCTAGAGGGTGAGCAGAAAGGGTCATTCTCGGAAGCGAAAGCAGGGAACCACAGGGACCAACAGGTAAAGGATAAGAGACAGAAAGGCGGAAGCAGGGACCGTGGTCTTCTCTCTGAGTCTGCGCTTCCTTCAGCCGGGGTTCCCGTGGGGGTTGGTGGACGCCCTCAGTAGCTCCGTGAGCCGCAGAGCCTTCTCCGTCCTCCCCCCCCCACCCCGGGTGTCCTCTCGCTCATCAGTGCTGCTTGTGAAATCTGCCGCCAGGACTGAGCATAAGGCAGCAGCAGGGAAGGCGCTGAGCTGGTGCACTTGGTACGGGAGCTGGTGGGTT